TTCTCACCAGCCTCTACAGTGCAATAAGCAATACAGTTTAAAGAGAAAAAATACAGATTAAAAAGAATGAGTTTAAAAAAAGAGCAGTAAAAACATAGCATAAAATCTAAGTTCTATAACAAACTCCAGTCACATTCATTCGGGTTGATAGCAGCAGTCCTTTCACAGAAGATGATGGGTAAATTAGGTAGTGTGTGTATCTGGGGAGTGTATTGTGTGTATGTGTGTGTGTGTGTGTTTGTGTGTCTGAGCGTGCGTATGTGGATAGGGGCAACACAGTCTGCTTGTTGATCTTACAGTGTAGCTGTGTGAATGGCTGTGTGGGTGGGGAGGGGGCACAGTCCATTTATCAGTCTCACGGCTTGTGCAAAGAACCCTTCCAGCATCCTGGTGGTTCTGCAGCTGATGCTGATGAGAGAGGGGGCACCAACAATCCTCGTGGCAGTCTTAACAATCCTATTAAGTTGGTGCTTCTCATAGGACTTGCGGCTGCCAAACCAAGCTGTAAAACTTTGCGTCAGGATGTTTTCAATGGTGCCTCTATAGAAAGTTGTGAGGTGAAGTATGGAGAGTCCTGCTTTCCTGAGTCTCCTGAGGGATTGGAGACGCTTTTGTGCTTTCTTGATAACTGCTGTGGGGTTAATGGAGAAAAATAAATAAGAGATTTGTTGCTTTTTAACCCCTTAGCAGTCCTACAAATTTTGCCTATGAGGGTTAGCAGTCGGACGTACCGCCCACGGTACGTCCGACTGCTAAGGGGTTAACAGTAAATGTCTTTCTCAGTTACTTCCACCAGAATGGGAAGTAAGACTGACACTTGTTTGTGGTCTGTGCTTTTCTAGTACCTTCTGCTCATAAACTTCTACCTGTAGTTGTTACTGGTTTTGGTGTAATCGTGGGCATCATCTCACTGGGAATGGCTCTTGTCTGTGTGAAAAGAAGAAATGGTAAGAATAGTAACAATTCCTTATGTCATGTAAAGCCTCAAACCTTTTCTACAGTCTGACGTATTTCTAATCACACTATATTATAAAACGTTTATACACAAAATCCACTGATCAGCTCCACCACCGTTCTGTTCATAAACCGACTGATTTCTGACCTCCAAATCTTTTACTTCTCTTCCATACTTACACGCTTTCCCACAATTTTCTTATTCCTCCTTAAGACTCAGCATTATGTTTCAGCTGCTCCGCACCAACACTCTGTACCTCACAGCTTCAACACACCGGTGAATATATTAATCTAGCTGTTACTCGGTGTGTGGTGACTTTTAGAGGAAGAAAAACAAAGATATACTCCTCCTGTCCCGTGAATGAATAAATAATCCATTAATTAATTTTAAAAAAAAATTAAAGCCTCCCTTATTGTTTAACAAACCTGTCTTTGGCAAATTGGACCAGATTAAAACATACCACTCTTTTGCTGCACTCTCCTTGGTAGTCTTCACCTCTCTGCACTCCTTCCTGTCTGTAGAATTGTAAAATGTTAATACTGCTATCGTTATCTAACTATCATGGCTCAAAGAGTTGGCAGTTCGTCTTGTAACCGGAAGGTTGCCGGAACCGGCCCCGAAAAGCGCTATATAAATGCAATCCATTATTATTATTATTTACTATTAGCTAAAAATGATCAGCTGTGATGATCCTGATTTTAATGTGTATCAAATATATCTATATTAAAAAAATAATCTGATCTGAATTAACAGCACAAGAACTCTGTGATGTGGTTAATTGCCAATATGTACAACGAGATTAAATATCAATGAAAAAAGTAAGTAAACATAAACAGTTAAACTCCGTACATTTGGTCAACTAAGTGATTACTCCGAGATATTAATCTAAAAGTCTTGATGGAACCTCCAACCGATCGGCTGGACATGACAGGCATTCCCTTCTCTATCATTAAAACTTTCAACACCTTAAAGGAGTTATTAAAGATTTCTTACATCATAGGCCAAAGTGGCCAATGAAAGCACAGTCAGCGTTAACTTGTCTAGCACACTAGTCCTGTCAAGGACCAGACGTTTGTCTACAATGAAAAGACAGCTAGTTGCAAACGCCAGGCCTCTCAGCTTGACAAGCTTTAGTAATTGTTCACACACTAGTGCTGTGCAATACTGCAAATTTTGGTATTAGTCCGATACCAGGTAAATTAACAGTAGTAGTGCCAGTACTAATACTTTTAATCTTTAAAGAGAGCTTATGTAGGGGAGAACAGTGTATCATGATTTATGAGATGCATTATCGTGTTAGGGTACCTGGGTTGTTGACCCAGTGTTTTCTGTTAAGAGTTTTGAGTCTTGTTTATTCATTATTATGTTCTCTGTGTGTCTTATGTTTCAGTTTGCTTGTGCTCAGGTTTATCAGTATTTCTAGTTTAGGTTGTCTTGGTTGGTAATTGGCCCCATTCGTGTCTTTGTCTTGTCTCTATGTCCTTCCCTCAGCATCTCCAGGTTAAGTCAGTCCTATTTACCTGTTTGCCTTGTTTTCTGTTTTCCCAGTTGTGCCACTGTGTGTGTCTCTCTCATCTTTCACTCCATCACCCTCTCTCTTCTCCCTCTGTCCCCTGGGTTTAGTCAGTCTGCGTCTCAGTGTGTGTTTCTCCTACTTCTTGTTTTACTTTTATAGTCTCCTGTCTGGTGTGCGTCATGTTTAATTTTGTTTCCCGCTGTCTCGTTAGCAGCCCTTTCTCACTCTCGAGGCGTAACATCCCGATGTTTTGTCACATCCCGCGGCGCTCCTGAGGAACGCGAAAGGTGACCTTCCGCGTTCTTATGGTACGCACTGGGTTATGGATGAAATCCAGTGGAATGACGGTCCCGCGGTAATAGACATTCCAGCCCTGTATTCCAGCCCTAAACCTAACTTTATTCCTAACCATAACCTTATTTGTAACCTTAACCAGCACTTTAATGATGTTAAATAGTGTTTTCCCAAGTGATTTTAAGAAAAAGAGCAAACATGTGTAGATTGAGTGCAAATGGTTCTCATATTTCCTCATTTTTCCAATCTCTTCATTTAGGAATGTGTTGGGTGCCCGGAAACGTAATATGTTGACGATTTATCACCTAGCATAAAATGTTACGCTTTGGGAGTGAGAACGTGTTGCTCGTTAGTTAGATTACGTTCAGCTGAGTTCCACCTGTGTTGTGTTCCCTCATTTGCGCTCATGCATTTATTGTCCGTCTACCACTGTCAAGTGTCGCAATCTCCGTCTTGCTATGTCCTTTCCATATGTCCATTTTGTACCTGCCCTTAGCCTTCCCAGTGTTGTTATGTATCTATCAATCAAGCAATAAAAATCTTGTTAAGTTCAGTCTTGCTGAATGAGTGCTGACTTTTACTAAACACAATAATTAGTTCACACAGTAAAAAACATACTTTTAGCTTTTCTAATATATTAATACTGTGTTTCTTAGAGAGCTGGAATGTAAATGTGCCCATCTTTAAAATACTTTGTGTCAGCTTCTGTTGTTTAAATGTGCTACAGGGTAAAAAGAATTGACAGGACAGAACAGAGAATGGTTTAAATATTTTTCATAGTGCATGTTTGAAGTATATTTTTTAATTTAAAAAATATATAGTAAAAATGTATTTAACAGTGGGGTGCATGCATACTGAATAGAAGCAACCTATGATCCAATTGCATCTGTGTCAGTCCAATACTGATACCAGTGTTAGTATCGATATTATCGATATTTAGCTCAATCTGCCCACCCTATCACACACCCATGAGAATGCCTATCCCCATATAGATTTCAAGTAGTATTCTGCTTCCACGGTCAATTGACAGCTGCCACAAAATGACAGGGTTTTTTCTCATACCTGTTTGGATGGATGCAAACATGTCACGGTGAGGTATGCTGGTGTGTTTGTGAAATGGACCCAAATGCAGGAGAGGAGACGGTACTGAGCTTTAAACAAAAGGTGAGCCTTTATTAGGGCTGATAACAAGAATGCAAAACAAAAAAAATATGAACAGTGGTGCGAGCTAAACTAAAACCAAAACAGGAAAAAACAAGGAAACACAACTATGAACATGATTTTGAGCAGGAGCATGAAATAAACTGAAATACCAACATGAACTAGAATCATGAATAATACAGACAACCTGACACTGAACAAAGGAAGACAGAGGACTTAAATACACACAGGAGGTGATCAGGGAAAGTGGAAACACATGGGAATACAGCTGACTGAAATGAACATAATGGCTGTGTCCCAATTCAGGGTCTGCACGCTTGAAGTACACATTTTAAGTGCGGTTACGTCACCGCCACGCTACGATGGCTGTCCCAATTCGAAGTGTACTTCAAATGCATACTCCAAATGCGCCGTCGATTTCCCCAAATATCAAGCGTGGTCCGGTGCACGCTTCGT